GTAGCCCAAGTTAAGTTAAAGTACTAAGGAAAATAAAGGAAAAGAAGACATATCTTACTGTACTTACACAATTTTTATTTTCTTTTTTCTAATGAAATATATATAGTAAAAATAATTGAATCTTGTGACTTGTTACATAATTTAAATCTACACACTTGACAAAATTATTGTATATAATTTACAATTACACTAAATTTCAGTTCATTGATAAATTTTTTCCTTAATCATATCCTAGTTACATGCATACAAGTTTACAGATTCAGCTGCTGCTTACATGGGTAAATATAACTATTGAAATCCTGTTAAATGTGTCTTAGCAATTGGATCCAGGCTGCAGTCATATAATAATATTAACATTTCTTGTGATGCATTCAGTCCAGTAATATTTAGATAAGTGCTCTGAAAATTCTGCTTTAAAGAATGTTAGGAGTTGGCAAAGAAGGAAATGGAACCAGATGGAACATATATCCGGCATCAGTTCCTCAGTAGACACTCAGACTGATGGTAATCTTCATGACCAGCTGATTTCTATTGATTCATCTACAGTTATGTTGAAATTTTGCAGTTTAATATGAAGTATCTAAAAACAGAAAATAGTATTATAATTAATTGCTTCATTGAATGCATACGTTTGATGCCATTTTTAACAAACACTATTTTTATCTAAAATACTGTCTAGGTAAACAACATCTCACACCTCACTTTTCTTTATTTTGATAAAGGGATTCATGTATGTGATGTAACTGCATATATTCAAACATGTAATTTGTTAAAATTCACTTATAACTAACTGCCTATGTTTACTGGTCAAAATCAATACTTTTAAAAATTATTTTAAAAAGGAAAAAAACCTTAAAATTTACTTCTTAGTATTTAAAGTTATTCATAAATAGATTTCAAATCAATGGGACATATTTCTTTTCAAACAGCACATTTCAACATGGCATAATTGCCCAACATGAACTTGAAATAACATGACTCGTCAGAATGCTATAGTTGACCTTGTACAGTTATTATTATGTCTTTCACTTTAAAGTAAAAGTTATGAACTTTATTTACTATTAGTAAATAAATAGCTAGAAAATGTGAAATGCATTTCACCCTTTTTGCTTATTTGAAAAAACAATGAGCAATACAACAAAATAATTTTGGTCTGTGGTTAATGAACAATGAATACTTGTGCCTGGAAGACATATCTGCTTTTACTGGGAATCAGCTTTATGCTCTTATACTTTTGAGCACAGGATTCAATCAGTAATTCTATTACTAGCAATTTTATAAGGCAGTACTTTTTTAAAAACAGAATAGATTTGATTTGAGGTATTGAATTCTCAAGTTTTATTTTATCAAGAAAGGGCACTAAATATACTAAACTTTGTCTTTCCAACATTAACATAATTTTAGTTTATTTAACATAGTGAAATGTTCGAGTAATAACAAAAAAAATGCCAAGTTAAAGAGGACATCCAACTTGTAGACAAACCAGAGAAACAGAACAACTGTTCAATTTCAGGAGGTATTTAAGTCTCACCTTACAAATCTATTACAACCTAACACTTTCCAACACTTTTCTTTCTTTAACATTGAAGTCAGACACTCTACTACTTCCAGATTTCAGTTCAGGAACAGTGATTGATTGAGAGGAGCCCTTTTATGCAAAAGTACAAAGGGGTACTTTCTCATCCACAGTTTTAACAGTTCAGATTCAGTCTTAAACTTGGACAAACACAATTCAATATTTTCTTGAATATATATTTTATGAAATCCATCTTCAGGACAGAATTCAATAATGGAATGAACTTAAGACATTGCTTTCTTGCATATGTTTATCAAATTGGAAAAAAATGTCTATAATTATGTGTGAAAATTTTAAAAAACTCCTACTGGCAGCAAAGCTACTTTATATACCCATCCTTAACTCCGGTTCCAGGGTATTCAATGTTCTCTTCAGGACTCTGCAGGCATTATATGAATATGATGCACTTACATACATGCCAGCAGAACACTCATACACTAAAGGAGAAATGTGTAAAATGGAAGTAGTCAAACAGCAGGGGAAACTATGGGGAAGAAGGAGTTCAAGAGAGAGGGGACCATAGCAGACAGGAATTATCAATGAAGAAATGGGGGAAATCGAGACACTTTAAATGGGGAGCATGGGAAGCAAGGACTAGACAGGGAGAGAGAGAGGAGACATAAATAATGTCTAGCTAGTATAAAAATAAAGCAGAAGGAACTCCCAAAATTACCCAGGCTATTGCCACAGCCCTTGATTGTCTCCCAGAACTTGAACTTAAGACCCTGTTGCTGAAGACAGGTCATACCTTGGACACAGGATTTGGAGCAATGGAGATGGAACTGACCTGGAAGCCACCTACCCTGAGGCTAGGAGAGCCCTACACAAGCTGGTAGGGGAGAACATCAGTTTGTGGTCCAACCCCAGGTTCAAAGCCTAAAAACCACATCATTGACTGGCACAACAACATCGTTGCAGTTGTGGTGCATTTATCTTGGGGGTTATCAACAGCTGCCAAAATGGACTTAAAGCCCACTCTCAATGGAAGGAAAGTCATGTGTGGTACTGTAAACCTAGTCAAATGCATAAACTTGGAGAGGTCATAGATGTTAGAGAAAACCCCAAGGCTGTCACCTGCCTAGACAAATGTAATTTCCTACTATGTGCAAAATATGAATCTTTAAATTTACAGAGAAGTATCCCAGTCACCAAACATCAAAGAAGCTTCTTTTTCAACAGAGATTATTACAGAGCTCCACAACTGGTGACTCACAGAAACTGTCTCCGAATTGCCCAAGCCTATGTGGCACATCTACATGCAACCTTTCCTCCTAAGGCTCATGGAACATAGAACAAGGAATGAAGAGAACACTAATGTATCTTTCAGTTCTCATCAATGGAGTTCCCTCATGCAACAGGGGGCCAGGAATACAAAAGGTCACAAATGGCCAAAATTTAGAGAGCAAAAGTCTATAGAGAGGCCTCTTATATCAAAATCCACCCACCCAGTGCTCAGGGACCACTGCAAAAGAGGATGCGAAAAGATTGTAAGAGCCAAGGAGGACACGCATGATCATATACAAATAGAGTCCTACAGGCTTCTGGGACCCATCTCATATGAACATACAGCTAAAGTGTCAGAATATACAAGACCCATGCAAACTCAAGCAGGCTAAAATCCAACACAAAACTGTGGAAATGAGCAGCAGGCCCCAACCTTAGTTGAAGAACTATTGGTAGCTGATTATTGCTGGGTGAGGAAGAGCTGATCTTCTTAAAGGAGGGATTGTAGCTAAGTTGACTAGACCTCAGTTAATGAACTTGCACTGTGAAACATATGGAGACACTATCTTGACATAATAGGCCTTAATACAAATGACAGAATGTATGAATTCCAAAGGAGGAACTAAGGGAGTGGGCCAATGGGAAATGACTATAAAGATGGTTAAGATGTTCTGTATAAAATATACAATCAAGCCTAAAGAAATTAAAAAATAATAATATTTAAGGCATTATTCCATATACATATGATAGCAATTTGAACATTTAACATAATTTAGTAGTGCTTATAGTTTTTGAAAAAAATTATAAAATATATGCCATCAGTGTGATTTATTTGCCAAATTAGTAAAGTAGTAACACAGAAATAAATTAGGGAGCAAAACACAAATGAACAAATGGAAAATGTCATGGTTAATTCATATTTAAATTTCTTTAGGCTTGATAAAACGTTCTAACAGTCTATGTGATGTTTTACAGTGGCACATCTTGGTGAATTGTTTCCTTATGTCACTCACCTCCTTCGCTGCATCTTGCAAAAACTCAGGTTGTAGTATGTTTTCATTATATGTCAGCTTTACTTCATTGACAGGGGTTTTTCCTATCCCCCATACAAAGATCATTCCAAGTCTCATTTCATCTTTATTTATATACCCATGTTTCAATACAGTGTTTGTCAAAGTTGTCTAAAAATGCAAAGTAAAAGGAACAAAGTCATGATTTCAATACTAGTAAATCTTCAGAAAAATGCATAGCTCTTTAGATGAATTTAATTGAATGGCAAATTATTGAATCAAATATTTTTAAGATGTATTTAAACTTCACCTATTTCAGGGCAGCTGTTTATAGAAGATATGACATACCTTGTTTAAGTTGAATTGGACCAATGTATATAGGTCTCTTTCATAGGAGTCTATAGAGAGAAAAATAAATTGTGATGTGATTTTATTGCCAAAACAAAATCTGTAAGAAATACTAGTACACTTATTTTTTCCTTCTTTATAATAAATTGTAGCAAATGTTTTGTTATTGTTATTATCATTGCATAGAAGAAGAAAGTTTGTTCTTCAACAAAATTCAATAATGAAGTTAAAAACAAATTACTCTATAACTTCTGACTCAATCTTAATTCTCCTTGACATATAATATTGCACTTATATGAAAAAAAAAGTATTCAGAAGATAGAAAAAAGTACAGTCAAGTCTATGATTAAAATAAATATTGTAATAACATGGAAAATCTATGTCTTTCAATCCCCCATCTCTTCACAAATCAAAATACATAGACTGCAGTCTACTCATGTCATTACTTTTCTGAAAATTAACTTATTTTTGATTTTGCATATACCATTCACATTTGTTTCTATGTATGTATACATGTTGGTTTTGTGAGTGTGTGTGTGTGTGTGTGTGTTTGTGTGTGTTTAGATGTGGAGACTTTAGGTAGACAGTACATGTCTTCAGTAGCTATGAGCTTTGTTTGTTAACACAGAGTCCCCTCCTGAACCTGGAGCTCACTGACTGGAGTGTCCAGAGTGGATGACCAGCAAGCACCAGGTTTCCTGCTGTCGCCACTTCCCCAGTGCTGGGATTGTAAGATGCACTTCAGATGTGCAGATTTTACATGCATGGTATTGTTCAAACTCAGGTCTTCATACTTGTTCAGCAAGCAGTTTCCTGAAAGGGCCATTGCCCCAGCCAATGCATACAGAATTTAATCTACATAATGGGGTCTATTAGTTTTAATGTGTCTTAAATATTTTAGTCTCAACATTGTAACTTATAATTTCACATGAGCTCTAGTACTGCTAGTGATATTAACTTTTATTCTTTGAGAATTTCATACATGTGTGCAACATTTTTATCATATCAAACCCATCCAATTCTTACATATCCCCCCATGTCCTTCACTTAATATCATTTTAAAAAGCGTCCTTCATTTTTCAAAGGCAGATTTCTGGTTTATTCCTAAATTAATTAATTTCATATAGGCTTTAAAATATGCATTCTTCTGTGTGTGTGCATGAACATGTGTGAATAAATGCATGTGTCCATGTATGTGTGTGCATGAGCATATGGAAGTTAGAGGATTCTATCTTTTGGGGTTTTTTGACACATCTTCTCCCACGGGCTCAGAATTGCCACATTCCTTAAGAGGTTTGGACAGCTAGCCCCAGAGATTTTCCTGTCTACACCTCATCACTCTGGGAACTGCAGAGTACCCTGCTTACTTGGTTGTCCTTGGTGTTTGTTTTTGCTTGTTCAGATGTAGGATTATGGGGTAGATCTCAGGTTCTTTTGTTTGCAAGGCAAGCACTTTATGAGTTGAGCTACCTCTCCAGCCCTAAGAATAT